GTCTGAAGCAACAACCACTATGCTACCTGTAACCAGTTACCTCGTCACAGACTTTCTTTGAACCTGTGTGTGTTGAAGTACAGATACATAGTGTATCTCAATGTCATATTCCTCTAGACTTTGGTTTTCCTGTCATATATGATATTCTTATGGAGAGGAAGTAATATGGCGTTACTAGAATTATGCAAATTCATTGATTCAGTTTTATTTGCTTTATAACTTAGTGGATGCACAGAGAAGTAAATCTATTAGTCATTCATCATCTAATGCAATGAACACGAAAGTTGTAATTCCACCACTGCATACGGAAGAATCATGTACCGATGTTGTAGATAATGTCAAGTCAGTAACTCTTAGCGAATCAGAATGTGCTACATCCATGTCTGAAACCAAGAGTGATAACAAAAAGTCTGCTGATGTGAAGGATGCTGGGAAAGGTGAGGATGGAGCAAAGAAGGAACTTGTTAAGGATGATACAATTCAAGTGCAAGAAGGAGAGAAGGATGATGGGAAAGCTGCAGCAACTAAACGTGGTAAACCATCATCGTCTAAGGTAAAGTTGGAGAGTGAAACAATACAAAGTCCTGAGATTGATTTGGAAGGAGAAGGTTTTGTTTTTGTTTAGGTGTTAGTATAGTTTCTGCTGTAGATTTTTATTAATTTTTTACTATTTAATTTTGCTGTATGATCAAATATTGCAATTATGACAAAAATATTATTTTTTATGCATAAAAAATGGAAGTAATTTGAATCATTTCACCAGTTTTCAGAATGCTAGACCCAGCGTAACATAAGCATTCTGATTTTTTGTGTTGCCAAATTTTGCTAGTCTTGATTATAACACATAATTTATAAAGAAAAAAATGTACAGTATCATAAATGTATGATATAAAAATGTTGGAATTACACACAACATAAACAATTACTTTTCAAAATCATTTAATTAAAAAAAATGTAATTTCTTTTCAGATCTGTGTTTTCAAATACCATATTTACTCTATTAACATCTTCAATGCAGAAGTTGCATTTATTTTGTACTTTTTCATTCAAATATGACTTATTTCAACTATGGACACACCTCTGTCATTTATGTTAAGCAGACTCGCTACTAATAGAGTATGGTAATTACAGTATCTTATTTTAAAGGGAGGTAAAACTTTTATTCTTGAACTTGTAGGAAAATATAGAAAATGGGCAAAAGCGGCAATACCATATTTCCTCTATTAATAGCGCATGCGCTTACATAAATCACATTAATTTGTTTGTGGTCAAAATAAGTGATATTTTCATGATACATACATACAACCAATGAAGTTGTATCGCGTATCGCGTGGACGGGTTTCACGTTCTCTGCACGTAATAAGCTCGGTTATTAAGCATCCTTTTTTGGGGATGCCCGGTGGCCGAGGGGAAGACGTGTAGTGGCGTGAAGCTAGGCGATTAGGTGCCGTACGCGAGCGCCGGTTCGAGTCACGCACGCAGTACGTATTTACTATAATTAGACATAGTCTTTACCTTGCCGTTTATTCGGTGTTATTTGCTTACAATGAAATTGTGGGTTTGTATGCGCTTCTATTGGAACTACGGTAGTGTGATTGTAGAAAAGCTTAATATATTTTAATTTTGTGACAAAATAATTACCACACAGTCAATATGTCACAAGTAATTTCAATTGTTTATGTGCAAATGGATGTTATGTTATTTGTCAGGAATGATTTTTATTAGTAATTGCGTTTTTGGACTACCCCCGGTAATTTACTTCGTGTAATTACTTCTGGGGGAGTTGGAGAATAAAAAGAGGTTGTAAGAAAAAAAACAGTTATTAGGAAGAGGTGGTTTTTTGCAGTTACCCATTGAGGGACTAATACTGGCGTAGCTATACGATGTGCAACACACTTGCATGTAAAACTAGTATGGGATAGAGCTGCTGTAAATTCTTCCACTGTGAACAGGCTGTGTTAAATTAGTCCCATTTAGAATAAAGTCTTTACTCAATTTGGTATAGTATGTCTGAATGATGACTTTTTGAATTTGCTAACTTCTTGCTGAAAAGAATATGTTGTCATTTCTTTGAGGCTGCCATTCACAGTAACTATGATTCACCAACAGCGTTCAATGAATTGCGAAATATTGTTTAACGAGATTACTATCACATAGCAAAGTAATATAACACTAAGTCTCCCACATGAAGGCCAGTATAAATTATGCAACCTGGTTGATGTTCTAAGCATACAATTAGCTGATTTATTTAATAACTAAAATTGCCTTCTATATCTGTTAAACTGTTAATGATGTTAGGTTACGATTATTTTTTTTTTTAAATTTTACATTTGTTTTCTCCACTATTTTTTTTTTTTTTTTTGCCAGTACAGCAGACAAATGTGTTTACATTGGGACAGTTCACAGTGCTTTTATAAATTTTTGCACCATACGTCTTGCATCGCATTTGAAATTATTGCAGACAAATATGAAAATATCGCTGTATTTTAATAATTTATAATAATTAAGCATTTATATAAAAATTAATTTTGAAAGAAAAAGTAATCCAAGCGAGGTTACTAGTAAACGTGATGCACATGGTTGGGTGAGTGATCAAACTAAATATATATGTTTTCAATCAATCAATCAATCAATCAAGTAGCATCGCCAAAAATGTATTTTATTTTAGCAAATGAGGATAATCTTTCCAATATTCTTTGAGTGAAATTTATGTTTACAACCAAATAATTACTCGTTGTACAAATTGATTTTATTTTAAATTCAAATAAGCCTGTTTCTAAGGAAAGTCTCTTGATGCATCTATATCGATAATACTACCAGGGTGTGCTTTATAGCATCAAATCTAGACCAGTATACAATTACTGCTCTCTTTATTTACAAATTATGTTAGGGATATTAAGGTATATATTGTCATTGTATTTTCATTGTTTTGTTTTTTATGTGATAACAATTCCAAAGCTAGTTACTTTTCTAATAATACTGCTTCACAGAGTTTCTAAGTAAGATAATTACCATTTACGTTCTACTTTTTTTTGAATGTGTAGCTCGACTTGCCTGCCAGGAGAGATTTGCACTTTGTTTCAAACCAAATGTGCATCTATTATATATCATTCGTGCTTTTTATGTTTATTACATCAGCAATAAATTATAAACATTCATAAAGTTGCTGACACACAGTTACTTACTCAAGTCACAGTTTGCTTTGAAAAGAGGTGTTAAATACATGTCTATGAATACTGGGGTAATATAAAATAAAAAAACATCTTTGCTCTCATTAAAAGGTGCTTAAAATAATGTTAAACTTACTCTGGGTAATTGTGAGTATTTGTTTTTATTTTATTTTTCATTTTTTAGTCCCCGTTCGGACACAGTCCGAAAACGGGGACTTATGTTTTGACCTCCGTACGTGCGTCTGTGCGTGCGTCCGGACCTGTATCTTAGAAATGCCTGGACCAATCACAATCAAACTTCACCCATACATCATACATGATATTATACATATGCACGTCAATTTGTTTCACGATCTGATTCAAGATGGCCGAATGACGGCCATTTTTGTGCTAAAAATCATCAAAATCGAGCATTTCTCGGCTGTTTACAGATGGATTTTGTTCAAACTTGGTATATACATTAGACATTATAGGACCTTGATGCACATCATTTTGTTTTATGATCTGATTCAAGATGGCCAAATGGCGGCCATTTTTGTGCTAAAAAATCCAAAAAATCAACCATTTCTCGGCTGTTTACAGATGGATTTTGTTCAAACTTGGTATATACATTAGACATTATGGGACCTTAATGCAAATCATTTTGTTTTTCAGATAAGATTCAAAATGCCTGACTAGCGGCCATTTTGTATATAATGAATGTGGTTCTTGCTTTTATATTTTTTTTTATCAGAAGTACAATTGTTTAAGATTTAGACATTCTCTGAAAATTACTAAACATGCTACTAAACAACATGCAGTGTATCATCTGAAAGCTTAGATAAAGACTAGTGTTATTGGTGAATACAGTGGTGCATATGCCATACAAATGTTTGTTAAAAAGATTACCAGACAGACAATTACTATTGTGCTTTTTTTTCTATTGAAACATTCCAATTATTTCAATATTTTTATCACACGTGATGACCTGTGAATTGCGCAAGTTGTTCATAACACTTTAGGCTAGACGATTTTTTTTTAATTTGTCTTTATCAGCTTTTGTTTTTTAGCTGTGAGCAAATAACTACAGTCATGCTCCGGCAACAAATTATTGCTAATAGTGAAATTGTACATCAGATAATTCCTTAATCAAACTTTGGTATGACATGTACACCAACTTATTCTTCTACATATAAGCTTTCAGGTGATCGCTGAATCACATTAG